TGACTTTTTTGTTTTTTTCTTTTTTTTCTTTTATATTCCAATGCATTTTCGAACAATGTTGCATCGGTAAAATCAGAACGCTGTTACGTCATTTTATCGGATCACATGTAGATTTATATAAAGCGTGACCCTATGATTGTACGACAGCTTATAACGTATTATTATTGTAGTAGACGTGACATATCCCCATCGATATATTCCCTAGTGAATACTTATTTGAGATTCGTTAATCTAGTTGACGTGACAATAATTTTTTTTCTTCTCTCTTCTCTCAATCATCTTCGATCCGATCGATCGATCGATCGATCGATGGTCGATCTTGGAAAAACTTTTTTTTATCTTTTAATTTTTTTTTCTTTTCTTTTTTTTTTTTTTTATCACATTAAATATACCCGATCAGCGATAGATCGAGTTGATCACAAAAGTTCTATTGATATAAGATCGGATATAAAAAAAAAAAAAAAAAAAAGAAAACAATCAATCAGAATTGATTATTGACTCCCACACGAAGCCAAACGATTAATTTACATGCAAACTTGCCAGAACTATCGTTAAGTCCGCATAGTTTCCTTATAAAACATTATTATCCCTGTCCGTGATCATTTACTTTCATTTACATGCATCTAAATTTTAGTTAATTTAAATATAAAGGATATACGCAGAAAAAAAACGACGTTAATAAGGGATCGTATGTAAAGCTTAAACGTTGCACCAAGTAACAATATGACTTTCTTCTTTACTTTCAATATCTCGTGCGAACTTAGATCTTTCTTTTTTTTTTTTCTTCCTTTTTTCTTGTTCTTCTTTCCTTTTCAAGATACATGTCTCAATGTTATTTAAAAAATGAAGATACATATTCTTTTTTTTTTTTTTTTTTTTTTTTTTTTTTTTTTTTTTTTTTTTCTTTAATATTACGAAAACGTACGTCGTCAAATCAATGATATTTTATATGAAATAACGATGATAACTTTTCATTTCTACGAGTGATACTAGTAATGTAGAAAATTATTTATAAATTAAATATTAGTTGTTGAAATTAAGAGAGGAAGAAATGAAGAACCCTTTTCTCTCATCTCGTATTCATTAAAAGCGGACGAATCTTGGTATTATATCTCGAGTAATTCCTATATTTCGATACTAATCAAAACTCGACATTCTAATGTTTATTTAGTTTTTATCACGGGGGAAAAAAAAGAAAAAAAAAAAGAAAGAAAGAAGTAATAAAAAAATAATTCCTTATCGAATATTTTTATTATTTCTCATTTTACAAGTGATAATTATTTTCTACTTTTTTTTTTTTTTGTAAAAACAATTAAACTTATTAATCTATCTGATCGTTGTTCATCGATTTAAGTAAAATACATTTAACACTGTATTTATATAAACTCGAATTGATCATCTTAAGTTTTTCAATTTCCTCCAATGCAGTTTCGAGTTTACGAGAAGTATGATCGTTAATTTCTGTTTGAAGAGATTCCTTCTCAACGTAAGAATCAAAGTCTAAAATATCGGAAGTGTCTCGTCCTTGCCTGATGATCTCAATTACGTTCTCTTTCGCGTTAGTATCTAAGACCCTTTGCAAGGGTTGAATTTTTAAACTAGGCTTCAGATCGTGGATCTGAAAATTATTGAAACGTTTGGCAAAAAATGCCGAAGTTATTTGTCCTTTGTGTCCGAAAGTTCTGAGAATCTGTCGACTGATTACGTCCCAAAGATGTACTTTTCTATCTATGGAAGCGGAAAGTAGATTACGACAATTGCTAGATACCGACAGAGAAACAATGGTTGACTCGTGGCCACGATAAACGGCGCTGTCGTCGTCTTCCTCGTTTGTTCCCGTTGATTTAACATGGTGTTCGATACCTCGTGGTGGTTCGTGTAAATCAAATTTAAAGATCAAACCGTTCGTACAACCAACAAATAATTCGCTCTCTTTCGTATTCATTGAAATTGAAGTTAATGGTAAATCGAAAACGAGAATGACGAGGAGTTTACCATCATTGAGATCGTAAATATTTGCCGTACGATCCAATGAAACGGAACATAACCTCGCACGTGGTGCACAATGGCCAACGTAAAGATCTTTCACTGGCAAAGTATGATTAGAAAACGAATAAAGGGCCGTTGCTTGTTCTTTCTCGTTTATTACACGAAACAATGACCAAACGAATATCAAACCATCCTCTCCACCGCTCACGAACATAGAACTGTCTTTGGTAAATGTTAAACAGGTTATCGTTTGATAATGGCGCGTTATTATCGATAATAATCTCCCATTACAAACCTGCCAAACGTATAGTTTTTCACTAATACCAGCGACGATGTAAGAACCATCCGGTGTTGACGTTAATGCTGATACTTTGCCTGGTGTCGTCAATCTGATATTGGACAATGGCCTTTGACTGTTTAATGGCCATATATGAAGTCGAGGTTTCGTTGAATCCGCACCCAATAAATAACAATCGTTTAACATTTGTAACGTGTGATTTTGTATAGGTGTTGCATGCTTGTAAGTAGACAAAAGAGATCCTGTATTTGGATCCCAAACTGCTGCGCTCCAATTTTCGGCGACATTATCACTAGTTATAATCACTTCCATTGCGTCTCTTTAAATTGATTATACTTTGATATCGTATAATTATCGTGAATTACAATTTCTTCGGATTTTCTTCGATCGACGTATTTATTTTCACCGACCATAACCTCTTAATAGGATTTACTAGGACGCTCGTCTAACACGTGCTATACGTAGAGTATAGGAGTCGCTAGTGTAGCGCCATCGATAACTACACTTTCTCTGTTATCGATTATAGACATTTCGAGATATCATAATTTCGTATCCAGATTTGCTTAACAAGTTTTTCTTTTTTTTTTTTTTAATATATTTATTGCTAAAATATATGAAAAATACGAGTGTCATGAAAATATGTATATATATATATATGTATGTATTTTTGTGTAACTTATATACAATAAATGATCGTTATTATTACGTTACATTAGACTTCAGATGTTTATTACATGTATCATACATATACATTGAAAACGTATCGAGAAAGGTACTTCGATCTTTGCGTAAACAATAACGAATGAATGATCTCACTCGTCTTAACCTAGTCAGTTCGCTCGAGTACTTCGACGTGTGAACGTCGTAAGATCTTACGTTACGTTATACCCTCAATGAAATTATTTATATATATATATATATATACATATATATATATAAAATAATATTCTACTGATAATATAATTATTAATGAAGGAATAATTTATTAAGATACGTAGGAAGCATCGAAATACGTTTCGATAATTTTTTTTTTCTACATACGTATATTATAAAAAATGATTTCTAACATTTTTCACGAACATACAGATTATATTTATCGTATTATATAACTTTTATATGAAAACATAAAAATATGTATAAAAATATTGCGTAATTAAAGAAGACGCGCCAAAATTTGAATTGTTACGCTATTCAAGTATTTATGTATTATCGTTCGGCGCCAAAAGGAGCCATGACGACATAGAAGAACACGCAGCTTATTATCGTAGAATATTTTAAAGAGATTCTTCGTATGAAAGAAGACACAGAGGTAGAAATTCGTTTTATTACTATTAAAATAGTAAGCGTTTATATTTTATAAACGTAAAAACGTTATTACTTTTCGCATTGATTTTTTTTATCGATCGTTCGTAATATACGAAATAGAAATCGTGTTATCTAGTTTTCTTCATTGTTGAATACCGTTAAACTAGGTAACGTTTGGAAAAAAACGAGAATGACCTTGGTAAGGTGACACGAGTTATTACGATCAAGTAATAAAAGTATCGGTGCTTATATTCTACGTCGCAACGAAACGATCTCGCGTTTCATGTAACTCGATTTTGAGGTTATGCCGTTGTTCTTTTGTTATTTCATTACGATGGTATCAAGTTTGGTACAGTGATATAACGTAATTCTTCGTTTATATATAATCGTTCGAGTTAAGAAACATTTAGTTATTCTCGTCCATGGGATTTATCGATGATGAATTGCACGAAGTATCAAAACTTTGTCACAATGTTGTCGATAGTAGCCGCATCGTTTCTTGTGTGCAGACTATGGTTCGCGTCGAAATAACGTAAGTGAACGTTTTCTAACAATAAATAAATTTATATATGTATATATATATATATTAGGATAGATTTTTTTTTCTAATGTTCAATTAATTTCATCATTTAGGAAGACAGTGTTCAAGAAGATCGTCGTGTGCATTCAATTTCCAGAGAATTATCCGTCCGTTCCACTTTTAATCGAGCTTAAAAGTAAGACTTTGTCGGAGAGATTACTTGCTAGATTAACAGACGTTTGTGAAAAGGAGTGCAAGAATTTATTAGGAAAAGCTCAGGTATTTTGTTGTATTATCAAATGTGATAATGATGATTCCATGTATCGTTTAATCTTTAAAATATTCATAAAGTATTTTTTCTAAAGGTATTACCGACCTTAAAGTTAATTCGTAATTTCATCGAAGAGAATCCTCTCATTTGTTGTTACGATGAGATCTCATCCATAAAAAAATTGCTTCAAGAGCAAGACGAGTTTAAATTGAAACAGAAGAATTCAAGTATTACGTTAAGAATTCAACAAGGATTATATTATTTTAAAGTTAAGATCGAAGTACCAAACAATTATCCAGATAGTTGCATAAAGTATGTTCAATTTTTAATTTAATTTTCTCCTTTTATATCATTCATATTGTAAAATGAACAATTTGTTGTTTCGATGTAGTCTAGGAGACGCAGAGGCAAACTTTCCACCTGTACTCTCTCGTTACTTTTTGGGCCAAGGTAAAGAATTAGGCAGAAGATGCGTGGAACCACCATTGCAGAAAGGAACTCAGCAAACATCTTTTGCACCTTCTCCCTCTTTAGAAGTTGTCATTTCCTTTCTTATAAAGTAAGTTAATTTTCTATACAATGAGCATATTTACAAGTTTATTTTCTTTTTTTATTTATTTTTTTTTTTTTATGGGATTCATCAATGAATTTTCGTTATTTCTTTTACAGATCAGTAAAAACATTGCCCAGAGAAAATTGTCAATTGTGCAAGATACCTTGCTTGCCGGCGAATCCAAAAGAAGTAGTGACAGACGAAAAAGCAAATCTTCATGTAGAAAGATTATATTGCAGTCATTTGTTTCACTTACAATGCCTCCTAAAATTCATGAAGACACCCCCATTCCATGGTGAGTGGTTACATCATGTTGGACAATATTGTTTTTATCAAATTTTTACATTTTGTCTCTCGTTAGGGGGTAAAAAATGTCCAACTTGCGGACAACGCATTTATCATGACAAGTGGGGTGTCAGTGAGAAGCTCGCAGAGGATCGTTGGGCACATGAACAGGCGCGAGCTAGGGAATTGGCAGAGGTAGCTGACTTTTTGGAATGAATCCTTTGCCGATGTGCACAAACTTGTGTTTTATCTCTGTCCATGGTATAGCTTAGGTGAACATTAATGAAATCAAAAGCCAGATATCATGATGTATCGTTACATGGTGGTTATGATATTAATGAAGTTTTGCCACTGAACAATTTTGACTCTACCGACCAGCAATTAATTCATATTTAGTATTATAAGAGTCCATTAAATGTAAGTGTTCATCGGCAGTTTCACGAATCGTGGCAATTGCGATAAAATGCGATCGTTCTCACGTTGACAACATTTTTTAAAAATTATAATTTGATTCATTATGAAGAATAATCATAAATTGATATTATTTTCAATTGATAAAATTGCTAACCAATTATCATACAATTTTTTTCATTTTTGATCGTTCTTTGTATTATTTCAATATTACTAATTCATTTATCTATTTATTAATTTTTTTTTTTTTTTTTTTTTTTTCTTTTCTTTCATATAAATTATAATACATTTAATCATGTGTTCGCCTGTATAAGCCAGGACTTTGAACAATCATTGAAGTATCAGTTAATGAAGTATCTAACAAAAATGTCACTTCAAGAATGTAGGTTTTATTCGTTACTGCGACACAGTATTTATTTTTTCAATGAAAATGCTCTTGAACGAGAAAACATTATAGTTTTTACAAATAAATAAATGAATAAATTAAATATGTATTAACGGATTGAGGTCACATACGTGAAATTGATTAAAAATCGATGATATAATATTATATTAAATATCGATGGTACATACATACATATATTTATATTTTTCAACAAAAAATAAGAAAGTTTATAGCTTAATATATAACTTTCTTTTTAATTAATCAATAGTGTAATAAATCAGATATTATTTGATATTATCTATATTTGGAATGCTATGCTATAACGACGATGAGTTATAGCGAAAGAAAAACAAAAAAGGGAAAGTGAGATAATAGATTGAAAATTATTTTTATTACACTTGCAATATATCAAATAATTCCAATAGAAATTGAAATTGGACAAATCTGTTGAATTTAGGATATATATATATATATATATCTATATATATATATATATATCTATGTATATATATATCTAGGAGTTACATATAGTGTATATTTTTTCTTTCTCGTATATAGGAAGTAGCTTTTTTGCATAATAAACAAATGAGGAAGGTCAGGGAGAGACCAAAGTAGAAAACAATAGTGAGAGAGCCTTTCTACTTACATAAGTAAGTACACACGTATGTATCTTACGTACCATGTTTCTCTTCCGCATGTAGAAACACGTGTATATCTCTTTGTGACCGTAGTTGTGACGTATTGATCCTCTGTACCGACTACGGTGATCCTCTTTCCATCTCTCTCTCTCTCACTCACTCACTCACTCACTCACTCACTCACTCACTCACTCACTCACTCACTCACTCACTCTCTTATTCTCTCTCCTTCTCTTTCTCTCTTTCCTTCCCTTGTAATAGCTTCGCGGCCTCGTTTATACGTATATATCCATTTTTTTTTCCTATAACTTCTTCATTTCACTCTTTGTCTCTTACACGTTTTAACACTTTCTTCAAAGCATTAATAATTTTTTTATTTTTTTAATTTTTTTTAAATTTTTATTCCCTTTTTTTTCTTTCTTTTTTCCCTTTAATCCTTATTTGTTGATAAAAATTAATCAATTAATATGCTTGTCATAATATTCTTTTGAAATAGAAAATGTGATTAATTGAATGTGAATTTTTTTTTTTTTTTTTTTCTTTTTTATAGAGAAATAAATGAGATTGAGACAGAGTGAGAATGAGAGTGAGTGTATGTGTGTGTGTGTGTGAGAGAGAGAGAGAGAGAAAGAGAGATTTATATAGATGTATCTAAATTATAATTTAATTCAATTGCACCTGCGGCCATATAGTTCAAGCTTGCTTATTCGACGCGAGTGTGTGTTTTGCATTAAACTTATTCGTAGGAGACTGCTTGGCAGACTAATTCCCGGTTATCGATTGTACGAATACGTGGAAACGCACCGTCGTGTCGTACTTAGAGGGCGGACACACTAAACGGTAACAGATCAATATATTCTCCTCAAGAAAGAGATAAAGTTGAACGATACTATTTCTTTTTGTTTTTTTTTTTTGTTTTCTGTTCTTTTCTCTTTTTTCCTTTTTTCAGTTTTCAATTTTTTTTTTCTGTTTTTTTTGTTTTTTTTTTTCTTCATCTTCGAAGATACAATTCCAACGCGATCTTCATACTTGGATCATTTGTATATATATATATATATATATATATGCACACACACAATCGTATCTTTAAATTCATAATTAATGCGTTTCTCGTTAAAAGTTCAAAATGTTAGAATTAATACAAAACAGTATGATTTCTGAATTATTTATAGTAGTAATAATAATAATAATAATAATAATAATAATAATAATAATAATAATAATAATAATAATAATAATAAAATATACTTTTGACGTTTCGAATTAATAATCGTACGGGTCGAACTCGGGCGAAAAAAAAGAGAAAAGAAAAAAAAAGGAAAAGAAAATGTTTGAACATTTTCGTCGAAAGTTCGCGAGACGGTCTAATCACTTTTGCGATTATTTCTATCGATCCTGCTCCCTTTTTTCGTCGGAAACGAATGTTTATCTCTTATCTCGACGTGATATCCAATTAGATACCGAGAAGGAAATGAGGAAAGAAAAAAATATAAAAGAAAGAAAAAAACAGACAGAGAAATATATATATATATATATATATATAGAGAGAGAGAGAGAGAGAGAGAGAGAAGGAAAACAAAATAGAATAAGGAATAGAAAAGAAGGGGAGAGAGAGAGAGAGAGAGAGAGAAAGAGAGATAGAAAAAATTCCACGTATCGCGTGCAATTTCATTATTGCATCGGCATTATTAGTCCTTCGACCATCGTGTTTGGTTTAGGGTCGATTCTTGCCGGTATATTGTTTGACTGGTCACTGCCCATGGGTTTTGTTGACGATTGCTAGGGGACCCCTTACCCCCCCTCGTTCTCCTCGACGCACCTGGAGTCGTTCACACCGATTTCTTTTTGGCCTGTGAGAGTTTCTTCCTTTTCATGGAAAGTAAATCCTTTGTTGACAAAAAAAAAAAAAAAAAAAAAAAAAAAAAAGAAAAAGCTATACTTATTAGAGAAAGATTTTCGTTGAATGTGAATCATACGTATGTGTGCGCGCGCGTGCCTACGCGCGTGTGTGTGTGTGTGTGTGTGTGGTGTGTGCGCATTGCTTAGAACTAACTTATATTTTTTTTTGTTTTTAATTCGATATATATACATATATTAATCATAGAATCATAGTGAATCATAGTTAAAAAAAAAAATTGTCATTGATCAATCCATAATACGAATATCGAAAGATTAATCAATACGAAATTGATTATCTCTTATGTTATCAGTTTCGATGATCATTTTGACAAAAGGATTTCTTGATAAGATCGATCGACCGATTGAGAGGAAAAATAATCGATTAGTTACTTGGACGCATTCTTGAGGATTAATTTATGCAACTGGGATGTCCTTGCACCTCGATAAGCAAACCTTAAGTCCGAGGGGCGAACGATATTAGAGAGAGAGAGAGAGAGAGAAAGAGAAAAATGGATAGAGAAAGATAGGTAGATAGGTAAATAGATAGATAGATAGATAGATAGATAGATAGATAGATAGATAGATAGATAGATAGATAGATAGATAGAGAAAGAGAGAGAGAGAGAGTGAGAGAGAGAGAGAAGAGATATACCTATAATTGCACGTAGGGCAGCTTCGTCGTAACGCTTCATGGATCAATAGCTGGGAAATGGCCGGAAGCCAAGTCCGACGATGTCGTTTCGAGTTTTGCCGTTGTCATCGTACGGGGCCTAAACCCCTTCTTCGTCGTGTCCCACTTGTGTTATCAACCTTACACTCATCTTTCCATTATCCTTTTATTTTTCTTATTTTTTTTCCCCCCTCCTTTATCTTTCTACTTTTATTTGTGGTAACGCAGAGCAATTCAGTTAAAAGTCTGAAGCCCTTCGCAGTTTTATCGTTACGATCGACCGGTCCTTAACGGGCTGTCTTAACAGAAAGACAGAGAAAGAGAGAGAAAGAGAGAGAGAGAGAGAGAGAGAGAGAGAAAGAGAGAGAGAGAGAGAGAGAGAGAGAGAGAGAGAGAGAGAGAGAGAGAGAGTATCTAACGAGTACTTCGAAAGCAAGTTGAAAATATCGATCGTAACCCTTTCACTGTCACGCCCCGATTATCCTACCCGAGACTCCTCGATGTCTGCGATTTTCGATATTTTCTTTTGTCTCGGTGGTTACATTTCTCTCTCTCTCTCTCTCTCTCTCTCTCTCTCTCTCTCGGGAGTTATCAGTCTCAATAGCTTTTGATAAGACATTTTCAGATGATTTCTTTTACACATGTATGTATGTGTGCATACATACGTATGTATGTATGCATCTATGTATGTATGTATATAAATGAATGATTTAATAAAAACTTATCATATTTAATACTAATTAAAAATTTTATTAAAATTCTTTATCAACGGAGAGATATTAAAATATTTTCGATCGGACGAACAGAAGAAAGAGGAAACTCATCGGTTGGATAATTTATTAAATAATCGAACGATCTTACGTATTGGTGATATCAAAGTTTTTTCATTTCCTTTCCGTAGAAATTTTTCTATCTGTGTTATACATACATTCCATATATATATACATACATACATATATATATATATATATATATATATATATATATATATGTATATATATATATACGTATTACGAAGGATCGGCGGCTTCGTACTACGATTCGTGGTACGCAGCATGCGCACCGCGGGACGCCATTTATCCGAGGATCTCTAAATACCCCTGAGGGTCGCTATCAAAGCACCCTCCTGGCGAGTATTGCGGAATCGTCGTATAAAGGATCGCCGATCCGATGGCATGGATCGGATATTGTTTGCATTTCCCTTTTCTTACTTTGCTTCTCCTCTCAGGAACGATGTGATTCATTTCTGTTCGATTTCAATCTTGCTTTTTGTACGGAGAAGTAAGGGGATGAAGATTGGGGGTTGGGGGGGAGAGTGGGGAGGATTGGGAGGGTGCATACGGCGATGACAGATACGATGTATCTTTGTGATAAAATAATATTACCTACTTGTTAATAGAATTCCTTTTCTTTTTTTTTTTTTTTTCTTTTTTCTTTTTTCTTTTTATCTTTGAAAATTATCGTCGAGAAACTCGAAGATTGATTGCATTTTTTTTTCTTTTTCTTTTTCTTTCTTTTTCTCTATTGAATATTTTTTCACTCGATGTAATAATATAAATAATAATAAAAATGATAATAATAATAATAATAATAATAATAATAATAATAATAATAAATAATTAATAATTAATAATTACATTTTTCTAATTATTAGTTTACATAATAATAAAGGATTAATCTGACCTTTGTGTATAACAATTTTTAACGATTTAATATGCTTTAAAAAATATATCGCGTGTCGTTCGTGAAATATAAATATAAAACCTGTTCTATTCGATCTTGGCTCGACGATCGGGTTACGTTTCTCCTTAAATCTAACGTCTAATCGCATGAAACATTGCGCCAGCAATGTAACGTTTAGCCCACGCTCAGGGAAGCGAACAGACCGACCGATGGAATAAATTTCGTCGTGGCAAAGGTAAGGGCGCACGCGAGCCGGCCATCCGACGAAGAAAGTCTTATCCTGTGGATCTGGCTCACAAAAGAGGAGAGAGGTATATAGAAGCAGAGAGAGAGAGAGAGAGAGAGAGAGGGAGAAAAAGAGAGCAAAAGGGGCATGTTCGTAGTAGTGGCGCGTGCCACAACAACGAAGAGGAGGGCCGTTCTACGGGTCAAAAAAGGCTCCCCTCTTATTTTTCGGAAGAAGACGAACCACCGTTTATTCCTTTCAAGTCTACGCTTAGGGACCATGGTATCACCTCCCAATGGAGACTAACGGGCATCGTAAATGGCCCATAAAGACAGATGCCATATACATATTTTTCTTATGTTTTCTTGCTCGGTTTAAGGTATGAACGATCACGTGACAATTAGTGTTAAGATATTATTCCTAAGATTGACGTCGAAGTAAACGAAAGTAATTTTTATTTTAATCCTTGTATTATATTATATTTCTGTCAATTTTTTTTTTTTTTTTCTTTTTTTTTTTTTTTTGATAAAAATTAGATGATAATTATTAGGCTCGTTAAATTGGTTTACGTAAAAAGATTCTTTGTAGGTTACGCGTTATGAAGGAAAAAAGGAAAACAACTAGTAAATTCTAGAAGAGAAATGGGATATTAGGAAGGTTGAGTAGACGAGAACCACAACAACAAGTTGCAACCACCTGGCGAGGTAACTCCAGTCGGCCAGTGTCTTCCAGGTGCTTTCGAAACCCCCAGCTACGCGGCTGCTTACCTCCTGACGCAATACAGTCGCCATTAGTAGTAAAGAATCGAGGACACCTCTTGGTTGAAATGAAAAGTAATCGGTACGGTTAAGGAGTGTTAGGGAAGAAGGGAAATTTTGTAAAGTGGTTCGATCGAGGAACGGGGTTACGTCTGGGTTGCCAAAAGGGTAAAAAAAGGACTTGGTCGAAAATTTTGTAGGTCGCGAAGGTCGATCGAGACTTCCGCAGTGATCGCATCATTTTCAAGGCGATAAAGAATATCCGGCATGGGCCATTAACGAGGGATTTGTTGGTTAAGATTGCGCTTGACTTTTTCTTCGTTTTTCTTTCTTTTTTTCTTTTTTCTCTCTCTTATTTCATCGATTTACGTAGACAGATGTATGATGACTGATGCGTAGAGTCGAATAGGTAGGAACGCGTGTTCTTGACGAAGAAGAATACGAAGAAGAAAAAGAAGAAACCGGAGGCGAAGTAGAAGACGAAGATGAAGCAGAAGAAGAAGAAGAAGAAGAGGAAGAAGAGGAATAACATAGAGCGTCAGGCTGTCGCGTCGGCGGTGTACGACGTCGACGCCGACGCCGCCGTCGGCGCGTATAACGCCAGCGGGCAAAAGCGCGTTACCCCCAGTCGGTGGAGCGAGAGAGTCGCGACTAGTAGACGAGCTAGAGCTCGTGGTGACGGATAATAGAAAGAAAGAGAGAGAGAGAGAGAGAGAGGAGACAGACGTTGAGGACAGGCCAATATTAGCAAATATATAAAAGAGAGATAGAGCGAAAGAGAGGGAGAAAGAGTGAGAGAGAGAGAGAGAGAGAGAGAGAGAGAGAGAGAGGGAAAGAGAAATAGAGTACTTTCGGATAGTTTATCTAGTGTAAAGGACACGGAACTGATTGGACAGTAGGCAATACCGTATACCAGAGGTACTCGATGCGCCGGTGCACCACCACCACCACCACTACCACTAGTAAAAGCACCACCACCACCGCCAGCACCACCACTACTACCACCACTACCACCACTGCCAGCACAACCACCACCACCACCACCACCACCACTATCAGCAGCAGCAGCAGCAAGCGAGCACGATCAGCATCGTAGCCACTGGCAGCACCGCCGTCGCGAGTCGCAGTCGCCACCGGCGCCACTACCGCCTCTACCACCGCCTCTATAACCACCGCTCTTGGCAGTAGAGCCTCGCAGAGACGTCCACCTCGTGGTCGTCGGCACTTCCTAGCGGACGGTGCTGGTGTCCGGGTGGGTTCTAGGACGCGCATTAGATCGAAGCATAGATAGAGAGACAGAGAGAGAGAGAGAGAGAGAGAGAGAGAGAGAGAGAGAGAGAGAGAGAGAGAGAGAGAGAAGGTTGACAATAGAATAGAAGATTAGGAGAAAGAGGTAAAGTCGGTGGTAGAAAAGGGAAAAGAGAAAGAGACGATAGTAGGGGGTTCGAGTCAAGCAGCAAGTCTTGCTTCCCTTAAACATCGCATACACGCGTACCGATGCGCATCGTCGTTCGTCATTCTCGGCGCTAAGGTTTTGCGGCGCGCGCGATATTTCGTTTGGAGGGTTTCTTCCCTCCTCTCGGGAGTGCCGTCGACGGTTTTCTCGCGCGGGCTGCCGGTGAGGTAGGAGGTGGCGCCGAGGGCGATCGCAGGGTCGTCGTCCTTGTCATCCGCAGCGGCAGTAAGAGGAGGAAGAGGAGGAGGAGGAGGAAAAAGAGAGAAAGAAGAAGAAGAGGAGGAGGAGGAAGAGGGTCCATCGGTCGAAGTGACGGTGCATGGTGAAGTGTCGCGAGCGGAGCGGTGTCGTCTCGTCGAGGAGTCGGAGGGGAGGAGGAGGTGGAGGTGGCGGAAGTAGGCGAGAGAGTAGTCGCAGGGGTAAGGATAAGGGTGGTATCAGGCCGAGCCAAAGCCGCGAGTCGTCGTGGTGATGCCTCGCATCGGCGGGTCCTCCAGGTCGCAGGGTGTCGTCGCAGGTGCGCTCGAGTCGCGCTCGCCCTCACCGACGACGCGGATACGCTGACGAGTGCAGCCCACGGTGGCACGGCAGTCGTCGCCGCTCCTGCAGGCCATGTATTACGGCCCGGTAATCGACCCTACCGGCAGCAGCTGCAGTGCCAGCGACCACCACCGGCGGCAACGCGACCACCACCACCACCACCATTACGATCACCATCAACAGCACCAACAACAACATCATCGTCGTCCTCAACAATATTATCATCATCATCATCAGCATCATCGGCATCGTCATCGGCTCCTTCCGAGTCCTACCACAAATTCGGACAGCACGGAGGACGAGCCGGCTTACGTCTTGTTACTTCGTTCGCCCAAAAGACCAGCTGCTGCCTCCTGCTGTCACACAGCAAGGAGACCGGGCAGAAGACGACGCGACGGTGGACATGCCGTCAGGATATTCCTCGTCGCTACCGCCGCTGCCTTCCTCGCCCTCGCCGTCTCACCGGGTAAGTTCAATCATCTTCGAGTACAATTATCTACGTACGTCTATCTCTTTGACATTTCAAAAGCAATGCACTTTTCTTCGTTATCCTCAGAGTAGTATATTAACTTGGCCACTTTGGCGCCTGCAACTTGTCCACTCGAGTATGTACGTGGACACGTGTATCGTCGAAAGCTGATAGAGAAAGAGAGAGAGAGAGAGAGAGAGAGAAAGAGAGAAAAGGATTCCTCTATAATATTTATTCCTCTCTTACTCTCTCTTTCATCGAGGGTGGTCCTTCTCGAGAGTTTACGAGGAACGATTGAGAAAAAAGCACAGAGTTCGATCATTCATTCTCGATTAGCCTTCTTTCTTAACATTCGACGATACTTGAAATTCATCTTTTTCAAGAGTGTCTATAGAACTTTTTCACCTAGTAGCTTGTTAAGATCGTTTCTTTGAGAGATATACTCACGAAGAGCGTCGCTTGATATCGTGAAGGATCTTCTCCTGGCAAGGTCACGAAAGTGTGAAAACGTTGTGCAGCGAGAGATACGTGACGCATTGCGTCAAAATCAAATGACGAAGGACGAAGAAAAAGAGAGGAGGCTGTACGAATGTGAGTTCGTTTCTGGCCTCTCTCTCTCTTTCTCTCTCTCTCTCTCTCTCTCT